AAACTGGACTTTTGAAATAACTTTACAAGCTATCTCTGTGGGAACGATATCTGGTACTTATACCATTATTACTTGTTACGAGACGATAGTAGTTCGAGGTGTATACTTGCGCCGAGTTCTATTTTTGTGTTGAAATCTAAGGTTAAATAAACCGACGAGCACTAGTCGATGTGAAGATAGCATGTCACCGATGCGGTACTGTGGATCAACTGTCTAAATTGCACACCAAGACTCCAGAGTAGTTGATTTGAAGATCGAAGATATTTTGAAGCTACAAGTCGATTGAAAGAAGATCTTCATGCACCGAAGATTTGTAAGTAGTTGTTTGAAGCTACTAATCCATCCAAAGAAGATCTTCCTACAGACTGACCATAGTTCTGCAAAAGTTTGTCTCTGCATGAATAGTGTTGTATGCACGCGATGTACGATGAAAACGATAATATCAACATGGTCAAGTCAACCCCTGCCTTCTTATCCTCTAGGGATGACCGAAACCGATGGTGAAAACCGAAAACCGAAACTTTAGGGCCGGGTTTGGGGACATCTTATTGGGGACGGGCGGGGATCGGGGACGAATTCAGGGATTTTAACGGGGACGGGGGGCGGGGACGGTGATCACCGACCCGGCCTGGCCCGATATGTATTTGTATATATATATATATATATATTAATTTTAATTTATATTATACATACATACATATATATATATAATATCATTAAAAAAACAGTATCATTAAAATTTAAAAGACTTTTATTCACTTTACCTTAACAACCCAAATAAAGCTCACGAAAAAGTCTAATTTATTTGTCTAAACTCGTGATTTTACTTGTATGATTTTTGAATTTCCGTTTAGTTTTATATTGTAATCTAATACATTGTTTGTAATTGGTTCGATTATGTTTGAAGCATTTAAACTTACGTATTTAAAAAAATTGTAATTTACTTTTAATTGTGAAAATTAGCATATTGTAATTTTTTCCAAATCGGTTTCGGGTTTGGGTTCGGGTTCGGTTATAACTAATGGTGAAAAAAATGATTTTTACTCTTAACGGGTTCCCCAACGGGGATCGGGGAAACCGCAGGGACCCGATGGGGATCCCCGATAA